CTCTTGTGCAGCTCACTGTGGACTGCAGGTGAGAGCTGGGGTTGGAGGGGTCTGACTGCAGGGAAACAGGAAAGAGATGAGACCTGGACCAGATGAGTGGCCCAAGGGATGGTATGGGAGGGGCCTCGAGGGGCGTTAGGAGCAGTCGCGGTCAGCATGGCCCAGCTGTGTCTCAGGGCTTGGGTGACCGCCCCTGGAGACAGCCGGGAGCTTTCTCCAGCAGAGGCAGAGACGCCCTGGCAGCACCGGGTAACTGGAGCCGCGGCAATGGGCAACGTGGCCCAGCCAGGAGAAGGTGCAGAGGAGAGGCGGTCTGGCTCCTGAGATGCTCCTCCGGTTAAGAGCAGGATGAAAATTCACCTGGGGAGGGCCAGGGGCACAGCTCTGCCTCCCGCTCTCCTACCTGGGGAGTGGGATTTCCATTCCAGGGTTGGTAGGGACGCTCCGTTGTGGGGCCTGTGGGTGGAGGGGGTGGGCTGAGGCACGTGGGGACTGTCCCAGGGTCAGGGAGTCCTGGGGAAGGAAGGGGAGCCTGGGCTAGGCTCCTCGCCCAGCATGGCCACCCGCTGCCCTCCTGGGCCTGGCTGCTCAACACCTGAGAAGCAACACAAAGCCCTGACCCCTTCCACGGTCTCAGAGGCGGTGGGTCAGAAGGAGCCCTGAGAGGCCTCAGCCACGGAGCAAGTCGGTGGCCCAGGCGGGGTCAGCGAGGGGAGGGGGCAGAGTTCAGACCCTTGTCTGCCAGGTGCACAGCGTGCACAGGGTGAGATCGCACCCCCTGGCTGTGGACTCTGCCCCTCCACCCCTTCTGGAAGGCTGTGAATGGGGGGTTGCATACGTGGAGTATACACAGAAGCTCCTCGAATCTGGAGTACAGTTAAGCTGAGAGCATCATACACACACACACACACACGCCCCTCTCAGCCCTCACCCAGCCTTCCTAGCCCCACAGGAGCTAAGCCAAGGGCAGCAGTGCCCCCACCCTGCACCCCATGGCCGTCCCCCAGGCCCCTGACCCAGCTTGGTTCTGGGGGCCCCCCTGGTGGTTCAGGAGTCCTCAGGGCACTCTGGGAGCTGCGGGGACTGGGGCTGAGGCTACAGCAGTTCCCAGCAATGAAGAGGCTCAGAGCTGCTGTTCAGTATTCCCAACAAACCCCAGCACGCCTTTCCCTCAGCCTTGGGGCTGGAATCCCCATGCTGGGGTTAGCATTGGGGTGGGGGTGGGGGCGCAGTGGGCAGGCAAAGGCCCCGAGTGGCCCTGGGGGCAGAAGTGGTGAGCGGGCCTGAGGCCCACCGTGCCCCTCTGGAGCAGCCCCTGGGCACCTAGCAGCACCCTGGAGGCTCACCTTCCAGACCTCAGCTCAGCACTGCCTCCAGGAAGCACCCTGCACCATGGTCGGTGCCTGCAGCCCTCCCAGTACTGGCTCAGCCCGGCCAGGGCCCCAGGAGCCTGAGAGCCCCTGCCTGCAGGGGTCTGCACGTGTTCCCTGGCCCCCACCCCTAGGGGCCAGGCGGTACAAGTTGTGGGCAGTGCAGGCCATATGGTCTCCGTGGCAGCTGCTCCACTCTGCGGCTGTAGTTACAGCAGTCACAGACGGTCCCTAAGTGAAGAGTGTGCCTGCATCCAAAACTTGATTTACGGATGCCGAGTTCTGGCTTGCCTATAATTTTTGTGTATCACAAGGTAACCATGTTTGGAGTTTGTCCCCCAACCATTCAGAAACATTCAGAAAACTGTTCTTAGCTTGGAGATACATGAACGCTGGCAGCAGGTGGGATTTGGCAGGACTGCAGGTTGGAGTTTGAAGCGAGGCCCCTGGAGCTGCCGTGCCTGGGTGTGAAGTCTGGCTCCGCTGTGTGGCCTCTGGCCAGTGGCCCAGCCTTCTGTGCTTCTGTGAAATGGGCGTGACCCCGGTCACACCCAGTGAGCGCAGAATGGCGCAGCCACTGCAGACCCTGGTTGGGTGGTTCCCCCAGAAGGTTCAGCATGAGCGTTACCACGTGACCCGCATTCCCAAGAGAAATGAAAACTGAAGTTCACTTAACAACTCCCTCACAGCAGCATCAGTCCTAAACAAGCAGACGGAGGGCATGACTCAAATGCCTGTCAGCTGAAGAGTGGATAAGCAAAATGTGTTCCACCTGTGCCCTGAAAAGGAACGCAGAGGGTCGGCACAGTGGCGTAGCGGGTAAAGCTGCTGCCTGCAATGCTGGCATCCCACATGGGTACCAGTCAAGTCCCAGCTACTCCACTTCCAATCCAGCTCCCTGCTAATGCACCTGGGAAAGCAGCAGAGAATGGCCCAAGTGCTTGAGCCCCTGCACCCACATGGGGGACCCAGATGAAGTTCCTGGCTCCTGGCTCTGGATGTGCTCAGCTCTGGCTGTTGCGGCCATTTGGTGAATGAACCAGCAAATGGAAGACCTCTCTTGCTCACTCTCTCTCTCTCTCCCTCTAACTCTGCCTTTCAAATAAATAAATCTTAAAAAAAAACAAAAAAAAAAAAAAAGGAAAGAAAAGGAGTGCAGAGGTGGACAGGCAGCCTGGCTGCTAGTTATGGCGTCCACCTCCATGTCCAAGTGTGTGGCTTCCAGTCCTTAGCTTCCTGCTAAGCACACTCTGATCAGGCATCAGGGATGGCTCAAGTGTCTGTGTCCCTGCCACCCACGTGGGAGACCTGGGTTGAGTTCCCAACTTCAGCCCTAAACTGTTGTGGGCATTTGGGGAGTGAACAGATGGATAGGAGCTCTCTGTCTTGATCTCTCAGATAAATGCATGAAAATGAAAGGAGTGAGGCCTGATGTGTGGCACAGCATGGAGGAGCTGGAGGGGTCGAGCTGAGAGCAGCCAGACACACAAGGTGTGGTTTCATTTCTGTGCAGTCTGCAGGCCAGGCAAGTCCAGAGACAGTGGGCTCGGGGCTGAGGGTGAGTGGGGAGTGACTGCTAATGGCTCTGGGGATTTTGTTGGGACGATGAAAGTGTTTTGGAGTTATATAGAGGTGAGAATAGGACAACTTTTGGAATATCCTAAAAGTTAAGTATCTGGGGCTGGCGTTGTGGCACAGCGGGGTAAGTCAGCACCTGTGCTGCTGGCATCCTGTATGGGCACCGGATCAAGTCCCAGCTGCTCCACTTCTACCCTTGCTAATGCACCTCGGAACACAGCAGAAGACAGCCCAAGTACTCGGGTCCCTGCCACCCATGTGGGAGATCCTGATGGAGTTCCAGGCTCTGGCTTCAGCCTGGCCCAGCCCACACCACTGCAGCCATTTGGAGAGTGAACCAGCGAATGGAAGGTCTCTCTCTCCCTTTCTTTCTCCCTCTCTCTCACCTCCCCTCTGCTTCTCCCTCCTTCCCTCTCTGTAACTGCCTTTCAAATAACTAAAATCAATCTTAAAGAAATTAAATATACTAAATACTAAACAGCATGTTTTAAAAGGATAAATTATCTCAAAGTTTCTAAAAGATTTATTTGAAAGGCAGAGTGACAGAGAAGTAGAGACACAGAGAGAAAGAGAGCTGCCTTCCACTGGGTCACTCCCCAGATGCCTGCAATGGCCGGGGCTAAGGAGCCAAGAACTTTGTCCAGGTCTCCCACATGGGTGGCAGGGGCCCAAGCACTTGGGCCATCATCACTCGCTTTCCCAGGCACAGTAGCAAAGAACTGGGTGGGAAGCAGAGCAGCTGGGACTCGAACCAGCACCTGATATTAGACGGGGGTGTCACAAGCAGCAGCTTTAACTGCTGTGCCACACATCAGCCTTTCAAAACCTTTTAATGTGAATTCTATCTCAATAAGAACTTAATGGTACCATGTCCTTCCTGGGGCTTCTGTGTCAATGTATAGAAAGCACTTGGAGCAGCACCTGGCCATACCCATCGCTGTCCCAGAAGGGCCCTGGGAGGCCACTGTGTCCTGACCCTGTTGTCACTAGGGCTTAGGACAGAACACGGGAACTTCAAGTTTGAAGGCCCACAGGCCAGGGGCTGAGTCCTTGCAGCTCCGCAAGGCCGTGCACCTTCTGACAGGTCACTCAGCTGCCCTGAGGTCCTCATCTGCGAGGTGACATCACCGCCAGAGTGACGTCTCCCAGGGGTGCAGAGGGTCAGAGAGCACCTGGCCCAGGGCAGGAGCTGCCCCATGTCCATTGCCACCTGCACATGCTTGACCGACACTGGCCCCAGGGCTGAGCCCCTCCTGTATCTCCGGGGCACCAAGGAGGGTTGGGGCGCTGGCTCCTGATGACAGCACTTCAACCCTCAAGATGCCAGTGTCTTCCCAGCAGGCCTGGGGCCCTCTTGCCTGGAGCAGTGAACACTTTAGGCCACTGGAACAGAGCTCCAGAATGGCCACACCCAGCTGTGTGACCACAAGCCAGGAACTGTGCCTTTCTCTCTCTGAACCTCAGTTTTGTTCAACAGTTGAATGGGTTTAGGTGAAGCACTTGATACTTCAGGTATGCTGTGAGCTGGAACAGTGGAGGCAAAGTGTTCACACGACGCCTGGTGTATTTTAAGTGCCCGGTCACTCCGGCTTTTAAGATCATTTATTTTAGGGTGTGCTCTGGACAGTCCGGGCACTAGGCTGTGTTCTCATTCCTGGGGATACACAGGGAATCAGACAGAGGTAACTCCTTGCGGTCGTGAAATTTACATGATTGTGGGGTAGGCAGACAAGAAAGAAAATAAGCAAATCGAGAGTAGGATTGAGGGAAGGAAGCTGAGGCCAGGGAGGGAGCTGTGGGGTGTGGGGCGGCCTCGGAGGAGAGGGAGAGGGGAGAGCATTCCGGAACAGCAGCGTGCTAGGCTGATGTTGGGGCCGCCAAGGAGCTCGGGATGGCCGCAGGGGCAGGGCTGGTGGCAGGGGACGGGTCTGATCCCTGGGTGTCAGCGAGAGCAGGGACTGACTGTCCTGCCCAGGCGGCAAGGACTTCGGCCGTATCAGACCTCACCCGTCTGCCTTCCCTGGCCTCACAGCCCTGTGCTTCCTCCCACAGGACCAGCGGGGGCTCCATGGGCGCCTGAGGGCCCGGCGCCAGGGCCGCGGGCACGAGCATGGTGAGACACCAGCCCCTGCAGTACTACGAGCCTCAGCTGTGCCTCTCCTGCCTCACGGGCATCTACGGCTGCCGCTGGAAGCGCTACCAGCGCTCCCACGATGACACCACGCCGGTGAGCCGCCTGGCCGTCAGAGGGACCCAGGGAGCCCCACCAATCCGAGGGGGGACAGGGGAGGGGGGAGGGGCTCTGCTCTGTCTGCCCCCTGTGCGGCTCTGGGCAGACCACCCTTCTGCGTGTTTGTTTACCCCTCTGTGAAATGGGCCCATGGTTATTAATTCCTGGATCTACCTGACCAGGTGGGCAAGGTGGGAGCTTTCCGTGTCGGGGATGGCACTTGTTGCTGGCTCTCCTCTGCCAGCACGGGGGACAGGCTGCTCCATGGTGCACACGCGCAGCCGGGCAGGCAGCCTGCGTGGTGCAGGAGAGGCTGTGCCAGTGAGCCCCGCCGACCTGGAGCCTGGCACTGGCGTGGCTGTGGCCTGGCCCCCGGGGCCGGTCACCTGAGCCCTGGGCCTGCGGGATCTGGCAGGAGGTGCTGAGCCGGATGAGAAAGCCTCCTTCAGTGTTCAGAGGTGGCTGTGCCCAGGGCGCTGTCCGCGCGCGGATCTGGTTTCTTCTCTGAAGGAACCCAACTCCTCTGTGGTGTTTATCTGAGGGCTTTGCTGCTGAAGGCCTGCTCCTCCCTCCTGCTTGTCTGAACAAAGAGGCAGCCTCCCTGGCCTCCCCATTCAGCCAGCACCCGGAGGCCGAGCTGGGTGCAGGGCATGGGGAGGTGGAGGAAGCTTCCGCCCGCCTGCCCGGCTCTGGCTGTGCTGGCCCAGGGGAGCAGAGTCAGGGATGGGGAGGGGGGCACCAGGCTCATCCTTGTGCCCAGCTCAGAGGAGGCAACATGGCCAGACCTGGAGCAGGGAGAGGCAGGGCCTGCCCAAGGCCGCAGAGAGCAGCTCCCAGAAGCCCTCTGGGGACTGCACCTTCTCCTTTGACGTGGGCGCGGGATCTCCCACAGCAGGCAGGCCTGGGGCTGGAGTCAGGTGAGCCAGCGTTCGCCTGGTGCCTCTTCCCCTGGTGCCTGGCCACCTAGCAGCTCCTCCACCTGTCAGCCGCAGGGGACAGCGCGCCCTTGTCAAGGAACAGGGGCCTCAGACCTGAGGGCGAGGGGAGGGGGAAGATGGGAGGCGCCAGCAGGACTGGGCATCAGGACAAGCCCACCAGCTCCCAGTGGGGAGACAGAAGGCAGGGATGGTCGTGGGCGAGGGGCAGGGGCAGAGCCCAGATGTGGCCCTGGTGGGTGTAGGGCCCAAGCAGGAAGCCCCTTTGCCATCAGGCAGACCCTGGAGGAAGGCATGTCCCCCAGGACATCTCGTGCTCCTCGGTGGGTCCCGGCCAGTCTACTGTGGGCCAGGGGCCAGGAAGTGATAGTCGGCTGTGGCAGCTCAGGGCCCGGGATGGAGGAAGCGGGAACTGTGGGGAGCTGGGAACCAGGGCTGTGCCAGACCTTCAAATGCCCGGATCTGCAGCGCCAGGGAAGGGCCCTGGGCTGAAGGGGCAGCAAGAGGCCAGGAAGCAGGCTGGCTGGTGGGGAGAGGGCTGTGCAGCGGCGCCGAGCCTGGCTCAGGTGCCCGGTGACTCACAGCCGAGGACACGTTCCTCCCACTTCCCGGGTTCTGCCCTCACCCTTTCTCTCTTAGGTCCTCTCCTAGCCCCCACCTGCCACCACAGCTGGGCTGGTGTCTCAGACAGGGCCGGTGCCCAGTAGGGCTGCATGATGTTTTTGCTGACCGAGAGGCCTGGCCTGAGGGGAGCACTGCCTGGGCTTGGGGCGGAGGAGCGGCCAAGGCGAGGGGATATGGCTTCTCCTCACCACCACCTTTCCCCTCCTGCCTCTCCCGACTCAGACACCGGCCTCTCTGGGCCTTATCTGTGACACGGGGCACCTGGCGGGTGGCTGAGTCACAGAGACGCTGCCTTCTTGTCCTCGGGCTGGGACGTGAAGGGGAAAGTCTGCATTCATTGAGTACCTGGGGTACCCAGGAGCCAATGGCTGACATGCATCATCCCATTCATTGCTCAAACACCCCTATGGGCCAGGATGGATTGTGTGCCCATTTTATGGAAGGAGAAATCAAGGCTGGGGGCCATCAATCAGGGAGTCAGATTTGCAGCACAAGCCTCAGGAGGAAGGAGGTGGAGGGGAAAGCAGGTGCACTCTGAATGTGTGTGTTGAAAGGGGGGTGGGGTGTGCCCTGGACAGGGAGGAGTGCTTAGGCAGCTACCTGTGGAGGAGGAAGGGCACTGGAGCAGGAGCACCAGGGAGTGTCCCCGCGTGCTGGGCTGGGAACCTCAGCATCGGCCTGGTTAGGACCGCCCTGTGGAGCTGAGGGGCCCGGGGCGCACGGGAAGGAGCCCGTCTTCCTCTCCATCCAGCTGGCCGCCTCCTGCCTGCTTACCAGCCACAGGCTCCCCACCCCCCAATCCTCCAGGCCTCTGCTCACACCGCCCCCTCCCCCAGGACACAGGAAGCTGGGTCCCCGACAGGGACTGGACCTCTTCTGCTGCCCCGGCCTATGGGAGGGGAGGAACCTGCGGCAGGAGGCAGGCAGAGAAGAGCTTTTTATAACTGGGGCTGATTCATTGGTTGTTGACTGTGACTCATGACTCTGATGCTGCCCACAAGGGCCTTGGTAGGACAGGAGCTGTCCCCACTGAAGACCATGTCAAAGCCAGCACCCTGAAGCCAGAGGGATGTAAGTCAGACTTCCAGAGGAACTTCCCAGCCAGATTCCCAGGGAGGCAGACTGCGGTAGTCAGCTGCCCTGCATTTCTGCAGCAGTCAGCCTTGGGAAGGCTGTTATCATCTTAATGGCTGCCCTGCACCTGACAGAATAAGACATCAGTGCGTTCCTCAGGCCCGCACTGCCCTGCCCCGCCCCAGACCTGTGCCCTCTCCCCTGTCCCCCGCACACCAGTCTTGACCCAGAAGCATGGATTATTGCTTCGTTCAGCAAGCCAGTGCCGGCTCTGAGTCCTTGCCAGGGCCACGGGCCTCACACCTGCTCTCCCCTGCCTCGAAGGGCTCCCAGGATCGGGGGGCAGATGGGAACTGACGCAGCCAGACCACCCAGGGCCCAGGGACGCCAGCGGCAGGGCAAGCGTGTCTGAGCTGGCTCTGGGAGGGTGAACCCCGTCTCACCACAGTAGGGAAATGTTTCAGGCAAGGGGAACTCTGCACAGTGCGCCCTATGCTTGGGAACCGAAAGTCGCTCAGCCCCGCGTGGCCCAGGCGTGCAGAGGGGCAGGGGGCGCAGGGCGCGGCCCCACAAGGCTGTGCCCAGGAGCCTGGACTTCATCCTGGGCTGCACAAGGACCCCTGCGGGTAGATGGCGGGGAACCGAGGGGTCCACAGATGCCTAGACTGTGTAGTCAGCACAGGGGCTGTGGTGGGGGCTGAGGGAGCCTCTGAGGACGAGGCCACCATCCCTGATTCCAGCCAGGTGGACAGGGGACATCCTTGGAAATGGGAAGCCATGCCGTGCTGCAGGAGGGGTGACAGGAGCTGGGAATGGCACAGGTGCGGGTGGGGGTGAAAATCTTCCCCACTCCAGTCGCCTCCCTACTATCATGGGCTGTGATGGACCAGGGCAGGAAGACACCTGCTGTCAGGAGACCCATCCCCTCCATGCCAGCTCGCAAGCTGCTGGCCCTTCCCAAATAACCTTGCCCTTCACGGCTCCTTGCCTCTGCTCCTGCCATTCCTCTGCCTGGAACACACACTCACTCTCTCCTCTCTGCCTCTGGTAAGACATTGCAAATGCCCCCAACATCCGCTCTTGCTCCTTTGCCCTCTCCCCAGGCCTCCCGCCCACCCTGGGTCTGGGTTAGCCCCCCGCCCCAGATCACGATGTTCTGCATCTCCCACTGGACTCAAAAGTGCTGAGGGCAGGGCCCGGGCTGCAGGACCTCAGCGGCCTGACCTAGAGGTCCTCAGGTGGGCAAGGGTTGCCGCCGGCACGATGCGGGGGATGACCGAGTGATGTGTGTGAGAGCGAGCGAGGAGCCACCTGGAGAATGTGCCTGCCTGCTGCCCACAGTTGGGGGGCAGGACCCTTGCCGAGCTCTGGGATGTTCGGGGGGCTGGAGAAGGTGGCACAAATGTATGGACTGGTGCCTGCTGCGTTCTTGGCGCTGCTGCCTGGGCCCCTGGTTGTGGTTGTCGGGGAAGGTGCCGACTCAGCTGCTGGAGCTGGGAATGGGCTCTGCAGGAGGCAGGCGGGGAGTTTCCAGCCGGTGCTCCACCTCTGTTAACCGTCTGGGTTTATAGGGCAGGGCAAATGGACCCCACTGGGAATCACGGTGTGCTTCCTGGGAGAAACAGCCTTTCTGAAATGGGCTCCAGGGTGTGTTTGGCTCCAGCCAGACACAGCAAGGCAACCCTGCCCAGCCTGGCTCTGTGCCTGGGGGTGTGGCCTCAGGCCAGGCCCGAGCCTTCTGAGCCGCTGCTTGCTTGTGGGGTACAGGGAGCTGCGACTGGCCCTCCTGAGGCTCCCCTTGCCCCATGGCTGCAGATGGGGGTACTTCCTGCCACAGCAGGGGACCCCTGCCCCGAGCTCGGGACTTGCAGGTGTTCTCCTCTGGGGGGCCTTGCAGGAGAGGAGCGCTCTGAGCTGTTTGTCCCATTTCAAGCATGGAGATGAAAACACCTCTCGTAGGGTTGCCATGAGGACAGGAAAGCAGGAGATGATCTCATCCAATCCGCAGGAGAGCAGAGGCCCGCAGAGCCCCGCAGAGCCCCGGCCGGCTGCGGTTTTTCTCGGGCAATGAAGCCACTGCGCCCCCTGCATCCTGCCTCGTGCCTCTCAGGACAGCGTGGAGGGCACCTGTCGGGGCCACACCACCCTGCCCGGAGAGTGGCTTGGTACTCTTGGAGGATACTCCACAAATGCAGGGAGAGGGGATGGGGCATCCCCCAGGGGGCTGTGCAGCCCCACCTGGCCGTGGCCATCTGCAGGTCCTTCAGCCCTTCTCTGTGTCCCTGGGGGTGGATGCACCCCAGGGTTGGGCGGGGAGCAACAGGGAGCTTCCAGGATGCCTGACTTCCTCCTTGTGCCTAATGA